ATCCTTTTTCCTCACTCTGAGGAGGGATACTTGACAATTAATCTCGACCCCGTGGCTTTAAGTCCGCGTTTGGGCTAAATGCCGCGAGTTCTTTTGGGACGTGCACTTTTGACATAGAAGCCTCCGACCATAGTGTTGATTACCTGAGGGGGATGCTGAAATATAAATGCCAGGGTGAGATCCGGTAGGTAAAAGACTTTCAGAACATGCCAGCTTGCAAGGCCCTCTTTTATTTTTGTTTGAATACACTTATGAGCGAACTTCCAGGTTTTCAAGTTTCTAGGATCTACACTAACTGAATGTCACGCGGCAACGCCAGAAGAGGTCCATAGAGCCGTTGATACAGCACAGAAAGCTTTCCCAGTGTGGTCCAAAGTGGGATGGCTTGAGAGAGGTATAGTGCTAAGGAAAGTCGCTAAGGTAATAGCCCATTAAAGAGAGATCGCAGATTAATTCAGACGTGATATTTTATAGCTGTTGTGGAAGCACTGTGAAGAAATCGCTAGGTGGGAATGTATTGGTAGCGGAAAGCCGATAACTGAAGCACGGCTGGATGTGCTCAGTTGTGTGGACACGTTCAATTTTTACGGAGGAGTCGGTTAGTAGCTAATTTTGCCTCCACCTTTTTTCTGCAGCTTCTGGCTTATATTTTTCAGGTCATTCGCTAGCCGGCCAGCACATTCCGTTGGGGCAGGACCGTTTCGCCTACACAAAAAGGGAACCTCTAGGTGTTGTTGGGTGCATTGGTGAGCATTTTCTTCCGAATTTTGTAAATTTCGTCAGTTTTCCTCTTAGGCTATTCATAGCAAGAGGAAATCGAGCGGTACGATTTTATAGGTTTATTTGGTTAAGGTACATGGAACTACCCGATACAGACATGCTCATGGAAGGTGGCACCAGCTTTGGCATGTGGTAACGCCGTCGTTTACAAGCCGAGTCCACTAGCTCCGATCTCTGCTGTGATATTAGCTCAAGTATTGCAGATGGCTGGTTTGACAGAAGGTGCTTTCAATGTAATACAGGTGCGATTTGTTCTTATTTTGGAAGGTTGTAAGGATTATGGCCCGACCGTGAAAGTTGAAAGCGGTGCTGTTGGGTGAGAAAGGTCGCATCATTGAGATCTGTCTATGCCTAAACTCACGCGTTTCATCGCAGTTATGAAAGTTGGGGGAGATCTTTTCGCCACACTGGAGTGAAAACAAGACTGTAGATTCATTCACGACGCCTCTGCTCGCTGCAAAATCCATAACAAAACCCACCAGTTCCCTTCTAGGCCAATGGGCAGTACATGCGTAATAACTTCGTATAGCATACATTAGTTGTTTATGATTCTTAGGGTGATGTCGAAACAGGCAAAGCTCTAATTTTACATCCACAAGTGAAGAAGATCTCATTTACGGGAGCTGTCCCGACGGGTAAGAAAATCATGCAGGTGTGTGCAACTTCCTCTGAAAAGTTTGCAATTTGACCGAATGTTTCCGATTATCTCTATTAGGATGCGCAGCAGGAATGTGAAACTTAATAACGGCTGGAGTTGGGCGGAAAAGGATCTCTGATAATTTTTTGAGACGCGTGATGATCGGATCAGCGTTTCACGGGAGTCGTGATGGCAAAATTTTTCAGCAAGGGGGGGGGGGGCCCCCAAGTGTGCACGAATGCTAGCAAGGTGTGTATTCACGTTCTCTTTTTCTCTTTCGTTCACTTTTTTAGTAGTTGTTTTTATTTATGTAGTTATGGGCGCCTTCATAGTCGGCCGCTCTATCGTTACTATCGTAGCGATTGCGCAGCATTAGGTAAGTATTGATCATCCGTTCGTTACGATCGGCCGATCGATACTTACCTGATGCTCAGTTTTTGTTACGGTTGTTGCAAATGGACGACCGACTATTTAATCGCTCTATCTAGTCAACGCAATGCTGTTACGAGTCTCTGACGAGTTTGCAAACTTGACACCTTATTAAATAGCTTGTTGGCTCACACTCGTGGTTCTGCCTTTCTCACTTATCCGCCTCCCTATAGGTGCTGGTTCACCGCTCGTTAGAAGCAGATTTCGTCGCGTCGTTACGAGAGAAGACAGAAGCGATGCGGGTTGGCGACCCTCTTGAAGACACGCGTTTTTGGCTCATTCGCGCAGGCAATAGAAGAAAGTGGAAATTATATTCGATGGTTAGCTCTTGAATTGATATTACTGCTAAAGAAGTATCTGCGCCTTTCCCGCGCAACAATGCCTATATGAGCTGTGTCAGATTTTCTGAATCCAGTGGGGTGCGGTGTATGCGTCACCGGTTCGGGCAATGCATCAGCAACTGGACAGTACGGGAAATTGGTAGGACTCAAGTGGGATGAAAGAGTTTCTCACCACTTTCCCACACTGTTGAATCGCTGGTGCGTCGTTCGAACTGCTGGTGCATGGCTCGAATAGCTGGCGCATCGCTCGTAATCCCGCGTTTTGTCAAATTCCCAAAGTGGCACTGGCTTATCAAAGTACATCTAGTAGTTTGAAAACAGCAGCTGCGACATTGGTCCGGGGTTTGATAGGACATGTGAAGCGTAGTTCCGGACTTTCACCAAAGCAAACACGGCGTGTGTCGACAGAATCGTCTTGGTGAAAGACGCGATCAATTTTTCGAGCGTTTTCTCACAAGTTTGGCCCATCATCTGATCCCTACTGAGATCTTCAACACTATCTCGTTCTCCACCCTTTATTAGGTGCGTTAAATCCTGATTGAATTCCCTCTATATCAAAAAAATGCTCAAAATGGTTAATTCACCATACTAGGAACTGACGATGTTTGGTGCCAGGTGCGGTGGCTGCCGGTGCCCGTGTCATCTGTGGAGGCGAGCCAGTGCAAGTTCCTGGCCTCGAAGGAGGTTTCTATCTCTCGCCATGCATTCTCTCCGACATCCGCAAAGATATGGAAGTCTACCGGTAAGCAGTCACCCTCTCGTTGTCTCCTTAGTCACTCACGGAACCTACAATTTTTGTATTGTAGTGAAGAAATATTTGGCTCGGTGCTTCTTGTGATTCCATTTGATACCGAAGATGAGGCGATTGAGATAGCAAATGATACGACGTTAGGCCTTGCCGCGGGGCTTTTTACCAAGTGAGTGCACTGTACAATTTTGTTGATGTAAAAACTTTGAGGGTACATAGTAGTAGTGATGCTGTTCGTAGAAAACAGAAATTTGAGTATTCCAGAGACTTGGCCCGAGCTCACCGTGTTGCTGATCGCCTTCATGCTGGAAACGTCTATGTAAATACCTACAATGATGTTTGTAAGTTTGAAGCCTTTTTTACTTGCAATGGTCACATGATCTCCAACTACGATTATGTATCCCGTTACCCTTCCTCTTTAATTGGGTATCGGACTAGTGCTTGCAGCATAGTAAGGTAGATGTCGGACTCTGCGATTGCTGCTGGCGATTATATATCGCGACGCATTTATTAATCTCTTTTGAAGCGAGGAGTAGAGTGGGGACCTTAGTAACCTCGCCTTCAAAAGACCAGAAAGTTGTGCAATTGCAGAAATTGACGTGGCATTGACGTGGCATCGATTCAAGAACATCTTTGAG